ACTTGCTGAAGCCATCATGATCTGCCTCTCTATGTGATTTGATATTGACAGTTGTCTCCAAGCCATCAATAAGTTACTATATTTATTTATTTTATGCTTGCTTACTGTGTCCTAGCTTCTTGTTTTGTTTTGATATGCCCAAATAGGCTGCTTGTGTGAGCTTTTTTGATCACTGGCACCCCTGAAGCTTCAGTGACCTGCCACCTGATGGCTATACCTGCCGCTAAGTATGTGAGTCCAGGAGTCAGCCCACTCCTCCTGTATGAATTCAGCTCAGGTGTCCAGGTAGTCGGCTACCAAGTGTGTGGTTCAGGCTCTCACTTACAGTCCTAGACAGGCATGGGTGATTGGTGTAGGCCCAGGCATCCAGCTGCAGTAGGGCCGAGCACTGCAGTGAGCCAGTGGCCACCCCCGAGTGTCCAGGAGGAAAGTGTGTCCCTGTTCTCTAGGGCTCTTAGGTGGATGGGTTTTGCAGCTGGTCTGTGAGCACCCAATGCTGTTGGCTGCAGGGACTTGGGGGGGGGGCACCACTTATTCTTGAGCCCCTGTCACAGGTGGCTAGGTGGTGTGAGTGGAGCCACCAGTCCTCAGGCCCCTGATATGGGTAGGTGAAGACCTTCCTTAATAGGCAGAGCAGTGTCAGATGTCAGGAACCGGCTGCTTCACAGCTGAAACAATTGAAGTTAGACTTCAGTTATATACCCTGTTGTACTGTGGTAATGAGGGCCTACACTGTTGAAATGGGCCCACACAAGTCTCTGCAGGGGGAAAGGCACTCAAAGTCTGTGGACCCCTTTTGCCTGTGCCTAGGCAAAGGAGCTGTGCACACCCTGAATTCCTGGCTTAGGGAAGCCAGCAGATTATTTTCTCACGTTAATTTGTTCACTCTCCAAGGCTGGGTGAACAGCTCAGGGCACGTGACAAGTTCTACTTCTGGCCCAGGGGACTCAGCAATTGCTGAAGCCGGTGCCGGACGCAGTGCAAAGCTGGGAGCAGGGAGTTAAATGGGAGAGTGGTTTTTCCCAAAGTGGGCTGTTTTTGATCGACGTGGTAGTCCAGACGCAAGTACTTATTTTTCCCCAGTGCATGTCTGCTTCTCACTGGTTCTGGATGGCTGAGTAGACTCTGCCGCTGCGTCTCTCCTGGTGTGGAAAATGCCTCCCGAGCGCTGCTGCTTGCCTGCCTCACCACACACCTCGAGCTGATCTGGCCTGAAGGGCTCAGGCTCTGGCTGGGTCAGGTCTGACAACTCCTCACTGCTTCCAAACCGTCTTTCCCTCCCCCTGCCACTCAGTCTAATGCTTCATGTTTGCCTTTGATGTTCAGGGCTCCTAGATTGTCACATATAATCGATTCACTTGTTTTTTTGGGTCTTTGTTGCAAGAGGGACCACCAGAAACCTCTGACTACTCCGCCATCTCAGCCCCACCTCCCGAATTGTTTATTTTTACACTTCTTATTGTGAAATATAATACATACATAAAAGTGCATAAAATGTAACACATGCACGAAAGTACAACTTCATAAATTGCTATAAAGCAAGTCCCCATGGAAGCACCGCTCAGGTTAGTAAATAGAACATTGCCAGCACCGCACAAGTCTCCTGTGTACCCTGCCCTTTCCCAACCCCCTTCCTCTCTCCAGAGGTAACCACTTTCCTATCTTTTATAGCAGTTATGTCCTCACTTTGCCATCTAACTCAGTATTTTTAGGCTACTCATAAAGGAGGCAGTGCTTCCTCAGTGTGCCTCAGGAAGGGTACAGCAAGCAATCCCGCTCAAGTTTAAAAAGCAAAGGAGTTTGAAATTGATTTAGATCAAACCAAAAAGTCCCCCAGTAATATGCCTGAATACAGGGCTACCAGATGCTCTTTATTTTGGATATTCGAATCTAAGATCTTTGAAATATTCCGGGTCTTTGGAATGAAATAAAACAGGAGGTAAGATCTCCATGTTGTACCTCTGACTAGTGTAGCTCTCATTATAAACTCCTATTTTAGATCAAGGACTGTGCCGGTTAATCAATTTATTTGTCTTTGAGCTTCAGATCCACTCTTTACCCTGCTTTGTGATACTAGCACTGGATTTTGTTAACATTTTTCCTTTGTGGCCTCAATAGAAGATTCTAGAAAGACACTGCAAAGCCCTCACTAGAGGAAGGGACTTCTCTTCCTTGTTCCAGTGATCTGCTTTTCCTTACCAGGTGCCCGGTAGCATTCATTATACCTGTCCTCATAGACCAGCTACATTTTGTAGTGTTATTCAAAATTTCTCACCACCCACTGGTTAGCTTCCAGCTCTGACCTGTACATACCCTCTGGCAAGTTTCTCTGCTTCCCTGCATGACTGCTCTTATAGACCAGCTCTGGTCCATGCCCTCTGGAAAATTTCTTGACTACCAACAGGCTCTGTGTTCCTGTGGCAGTCATGCCCTCTTCAATGAGGTCTGAATTTCAGCCCTTAGGTATGAGGGTACCAGGTATCATTATGATTTCTTAGATTTAAACATTTTTGATGGGTTTCAGTCCATTGCAGCTGTCCTTTTTGAAGCTCACATTGCTCCATTTGAGCAGTAGGAACCTCTTCAGGGTGGCTCCTGAGCCTTTTTGACATGACCCTAATAATCTTTGATAGCTTCCTTGCCATCTGATAGATGTTCTAGGCTCATTTTGAACATTTCCTGCCCCAGGCCTGGAATCAGCCATTTCTGAATATTTATTTTAAAAACAGAATTCAAAGCTGACTCTCACTTAAAATGTTATTTTCCTAAGTTTTGTAGTGCCTTGATAATGAAGCGTCTGTGTTTCAGCAATATTTAGGTTATTTCTGTGCTGGTAATAGAACAGGAAAGAGATGTAATCTATAATGAAGGCTGTAGTCTTTGATCTTCATTAGTAAGTACTTCAAATCCTCTTTGCTTTCAGCAATCAAAGTTGTGTGATCTGCATATCGCAGGTTGTTAATGAGTCTTCCTCTAATCCTGATGCTGCGTTCTTCTTCATATAGGCTGTTTTTTCGGATTGTTTGCTCAGCATACAGATTGAATAAGTGTAGTGAAAGGATACAACTTGATGCACACCTTTCCTGATTTTAAACCACACAGTATCCCCTTGTTCTGTTTGAACAACTGCCTCTTGGTCTAAGTACAGGTTCCACATAAGCACAATTAAGTGTTCTGGATGCACAGAGGTAAATAGTTAATTATCATCTCTGTTATTAATAAATACTTTTTCAAAGCTCATGTGATCTTAGGATGGGTTGAAGCACTTCGTAAATCTAAATTTTTAGCAGTCACCTCCCTCTGTCTCATCAGTGACTAGACTGCCACTAGCTACAATTTTTTATTCCTTTTGCTATGTCTAGCACTATATATCTTTTTCTTCAGAATGAAGCCTCTCAGCAAGCAAAACTAGTTTCATCTATTCTAAAAGACTCTTATTTTAATGACTATTTAAATGACAAGTTTTTCATTTAAAGCATACATCTAATGTAATTTGTGTGATAAAGCCATGCCATAGATTTCAGCCCAGCAGTTGTTTAATTAAAAAGACTGGTTCTTGTTTGTTCCCCTAGTAGAGCTTTATCATTTATTTCCTCCTATATATTTTGGGTTTCTTTTTATCTTTTTTTAGCTTCTTCAGATAAAACTTTAGGTCGTTGATTTTATACTTTTATGCTTTTCTAATATAAACATTTAAAGCTATAAATTTCCCTGTAAGCACTACTTTAACTGCATCCCACAAATATTGATAGGTTGTATTTTGATTGGAGTCCCTGCGTGGTACAAATAGTTAACATGTTTGTCTGCTAACCGAAAGGTTGGTCCAGAGGCACTTCAAAAGCAAGGCCTGGCACTCTACTTCTGAAAAATGAGCCATTGAAAACCCTGTATAGTACACTTCTACTGTGACACACGTGGGGGGTCACCATGAGCCAGAATCTCGACTTGACAACAACTGGTTTGGTTTAGTTTTTTAAGTGGATGCTTATCATATGAGAATTATCCTATTGATAGATAACAGATGTGGTAGGAATCATTTTGAGTTTAGAAGTCATTTTCAGTTAAGCTTAAAGTTTTTAATGTGTGAAGCTGGCACAATTCTTTGAGTAGTGGCCGTTTCCTTAGTATTGTCTTATTTGTTCATTTAGAGATTTTTAATTGTGAGATACTCATTCAAAAGAGTATATAAAGTGTAAGTACATAAAGAACAATAAAATTAAGACTATTGATTAATTCTTTATTAATTATTGACCTTGATGGTTTATCATCCATCCACCCCACTTCTTCTATCTTTTCTCTCCCTCTTTTTTCTAAGTTTGAAACTCAGCCATTGCTAAGCAAACAAGGTTGTAGGTCCTTGATAACATACAGTCCCACTTGACAATAGTAGTAAATGTTGCCTGTAATCTACTAACTATAGGTAAGATACCCCCCAAAAAAACCCAAACCATTGCTGTCGAGTGAATTCCAAGTCATAGCTGTTTAATTTCCAACAAATTGAAAATTCGAATGAATTCACCTTTAAAAAAAAAAAAAAGTGGTCACCTTACTAATTTTTTTTGGTGGTAATTCATTTTAGAATATTCATTTTAACATTTCCACTCTAAATCATAAACACAAGTTTGATATTTGGATTATTTCTTTTGCAGAGAGAATTCGAGGATTGTAAGTCCTTTGAAAAGGAAATTGCAGCAGATCTGAATCATTAAAAGATTGAAAGCAGTGGGAGGGGAAGGACAAAAAGAATTAAATAACTTCAGTTTGAGAGCATGGGGTTTCTTTTCAGAATTTTTGGGCAATTTGAAATAAGTCTATAGATGGCCTCAAAGGGCAAATTCATGAGCTGTGGTTTGTAACAGAACACTGGCAAGGTGGAATTTCAGTCGGAGGGAGATTATCCAGCCAGGACATACCCTGCAGCAGGATATGAATTTTACGGAACTGGAACTCCTTTTACTTTCCACCATCATACTACGATCTTCACTTCTTTTTTCAACTAGATATGAAGAAGCTGAAGTTCGGAAAAAACTTGAAGAAAAGGACAGACAGGAGGCAGAGCAACTGCAGAAACAGAAAAGGCAGGAAGCAGGACGAGAGGATGGTGGCATGTCAGCTAAAAGTTCTCTGGGGAATGCATTGGATTCCAAAGACAAAACCCAAAAGGTATTTGAAGTTTGTTGTGTGAGGTAAAGGACTGGTTCTGTTTGTCAGATGATTTGCTTCAGAATTAGGGTACCAGTACGGATTCTTTCAGGTAATAAGGGTAAAATTTAATGTGTTTTTATTAGAAATTGGATTATATGTTCTAGCTTCAGTTAATTCCAGGTTTTTCTGTCAGCTTTCACAGAAATACGTTCTGTGTGTTATTTGCTTTAACATCCACTATAAAGTAAATAAGAGCAGTGGAAAGACCATTTGAGCTGTGCATGTATCTCAGTTCTGCTTCTTTGTCACGTCTTGCTTAACCACTTTGGAACTTAGTTTCCTCATTTTCGAAATGAAGGTCTTGAAATAGATGATCTTTAAGGTTTCTTCTTGTTTTATAAATATAGTTTACAGTAAAAGAATTATTTGGTATACTGCTTCTTTGGTGTCAAACCTTTTATCTGTGTCTGGAGTCTCATTCTCTCCCCTTTGCTTTTTTCTACTTCGTCTGCCCCAGTTTCTCTTTCCTTTTTCTCATTCTTTCTTTCCATTTTGTTCAGCGACTACGCATAGTCTTTTTTCAGCTACGTCTTCTGTTTGCCAAAAGCTATCAGTGACTCTGAGCCTGCCAGCTCTCATTGCATCTACCTCCCTTCACCTCCTCAGAAACTACTCTTCCTAAAATATAATTTCTTTTGCATTGTTGAAATCTAGGGAAAGACTTCTGCTTTGATTTTTCTTAAGAATTTTGTGCTTTTAGCTACTATATTTATATGTGGATCATCATGGGTTTTCTTAAGAAGTAGTTGTCGAACTGCTTGTGACAGTGGTATGTGTTGCTTGTAACAGATGTAAACAGAAGTGAAGAAATCTAGTCTTTTAATTCTAGGAACTTACAAATAATACTGCCTTAGGGAGATGCTCATTTATAGGTCAAATGGCTGATATAAAAAATAAGACTTGAAAGAACTATATGAAGGGTACTGTTTAAATCTTTTCATTTTGTTGCCTTTCCAACAATAGGGGCAACCACTTTTTGCTACTTTTACTTTTGTTTAGCCTTTTTATTTTGAAAAGAGAATACAAGGAACCTCTGCCACCCAGCTTCAATAATCAGCTTAACATTTTACTGCATTTTTCATTTGTCCCCCTCTTTTTTCCTTTTGCTGGAATATTTCAAAGCACATTCCAGCTAACTTATCATTTTACTCCTAATATTTCAGTATACGTCTCAAAAAAAGGGACATTTTCTTAACCACAATGCTGTTTTCCTACCTCACAAAATTAACAGTAATTCCTAATAATTTAATACCCAGTCTATGTTGAAATTTCCATAGTTGTCTCAAAATGTCTTTTTATAGTTGATTTGTTTGAATGAAGACCCAAACAAGGTCTACTCATCTTTTGGTTGTTATGTCTCTTAAGTTTCTGTGATAATACTAATCTCCACCTCAGTCCCCCTTTCTTGCTTTTTGATGCGTTTGACATTTTAGTACTGGATCAGTTGTTCTGAAAATGACCCACATTCTGGATTTGTCTGGTTGCTTTCTCTTGGTGTCATTTAACTTGCTCTTCTATCTCCTGTACTTCTTGTAGGGTGGAAGTTAGACATGAAGGCTAATTAGATTCAGTCTAATTAGGTTAAACCAATTTTTGTTTTTTGGCAAAAATGCTTCATAAATGATACTGTATACTTCATATTGTATAATAGTAGGGGGCACATACATTCCTTTCCTACTTTTAGTGATGAATAGGTTCAAGTGGGTCCTTGGTTTTACCATTTGCAAAATGAGTTATTACCTTATAGAATTATCCCATGTTGTCTTGGCTAGAAAATATAAATTACTAAGTACTACTTTGCAAGGAGCCCTGGTGGCGCAGTGGTTAAGCGCTTGGCTGCTAACCAAAAGGTTGGCAGTTTGAACCTACCAGCCGCTCCCTGGGAGAAAGATGTGGCAGTCTGCTTCTGTAAAGACTACAGCCTAGGAAACCTCATGGGGCAGTTCTCTTCTGTGCCAGAAGATTGCTATGAGTTGGAATCGACTCGATGGTAGTGTGTTTGGCCTTTTTTTGGTTATTACTTTGCAAATTGCTTGATTTTCATTTAATTATGTAATGGAGAACACTGAATGGAATAAGCAGGATTTTTGTTTCATTATAAGAAATGCTTTATTTTCTAATTTAATTAAATATTAAATTTCTGTAACATCTTGTGCTTTTGTATTGTTTAGCCTTTAACTGAAGAAAAATTTGAGTAAGTGTCATATGATTCTGATACGTAACTAGTTATTTTAGCTGCTGCCAACTGCCAGAATAACCTGGTAATGCCATTACTGTTCATCTGTATTTCTATATAATGCTGGTGCTTTGTACACTCCATTTCCTAGGCTTGTAGTTTCAATAAAGTATTAAAGTTGACTTTTATTTTTATGACGGTTTTTGTTTCTATTAAAGTTGAAACTTTTCTTCCCTGTGAAATAGATCAATGGTGAAATGAGTGAAAAAAATGAGACCACAGAGAGAGGTAAGTGTGTGTGGAAAGAAGGAATTATTTTAGGCTAGTGTTAAGATCTTCTTTAATCAGACTAAACTTTAGATTTTACACAATAAGGTTCTTAACATTGTATCTAATCTCTGGGTAAGCTTTATCATTTTTCCTAGCCTGTACGATTATATTAAAAATGTATCGATAGGTTCTGTGTATATGTATCATAGGGGATATTTTATGAATAATTTTAGCCTAAGCAAAATAATGAAATATAGTATATAATTGAAAACATCAAAACCACAGTTTATTCTTGTTTTCTTCTCAAGATGCAGTTTGGCATAGTGGTTAAGAGCATGGACTTTCAGGAGTCAGACTGCCTGGGTTTGAATACTGGCTCTTCCTCTGAATTTCCATGTGATCTTGAGCAAGTTACTTAGCCTCCCTGCCTTAGTTTCCTCATTTGTCAAAAGAGGATAGTAATAGTACCTGTTTCATAGGATTGTTGTGAGAATTGAATAAGTTAATTTATGTAAAAAATCTTAGAATACTTAGTAAACTCTATGTAAGCATTAGCTGTTATTATTTATGATTCTGGGTTGTAGACTTGGTTATTTAAATGGCTTCTTCTCTCAAAAAATCTCAACCAGTAATTTGGATGTTATCAGTAGGCAGCATTGATGCTTTAGTCACAAATATGTGGCCTGAACAGCAAGCCTTAGACAATTACTTTTGCCTGTTAGGTTTTTTCTCTCTCAGAGAAGGTTTTACTTAAACGTAATTGTGTGCAAACACTAAAATTCTCTATTTAAAATATTGCCATATAACAGTTTAAAAAATGAACTATGAGTCCAGTAGGGTACCTTCCTAAAAACCTATCACTTCATTGTAAGATTAGTCTTAACCCATATGTTCCTTTATCTCATCCTACTTAGATGTTACCCTTCTTGGTGGTTTGTTGTCAGTTTGTTTAGCCTCTTTTGTTGTCCAAATGGCTATGGTGGTTAGAAAGAAGTAGGATGGTTATTAACAGCTGTGGGGATTTTAGCTTAGGAGTTACTGTGACTACCTTCGTCTCACAGCTCACTGCTGACGCAGTTCTTTAGATATTTAAGTGCTTTTTAATCTTTCCTTTCTGGTGAAATTTTTGATAGGTTGTCCTCCTGCCCCCCTAAAAAGTAAATAAATTTAAAATCTCATAAGTTTTACTTAGTTTCTGTCTTTTTTTGTTTTTGTTTTCTTCTAAAAAAAAAGATAAAATAGTCTGTCCTTTCTGGTTGGAAGTTAAGCATCATGTAAAATGGATAGTAAATATTTTAGGCTTGGGGGTCCTGTAAGGGGCCCTGGTGGCACAGTGGTTAAGCACACAGCTGCTAACCAAAAGGTCGGTGGTTTGAACCCACCTGCTGCTCCCCTGGAGAAAGATATGGCAGTCTGTTTCGGTAAAGATTTACAGCCTCGGAAACCCTGTGGGGCAGTTCTGCCCTGTCGTATAGGGTCGTTATATCAGAATCGACTCGATGGCAATGGGTTTGGCTTGGTTGGGGGTGGGGGTCCTATGGTCTTTGTCACAGCTGTTCATCTCTGCTATAGTAGCAGGAAAGCAGCATAGACAATATGTAAACAAGTGAGTGTGGCTCCAATCCAGTAAAAACAGGTGGCCATAGTTTGCCAAACCCTGACGTGGAACACAAGTAACAAGCTTTTGGCTTGTTACTCTGGGAAAACTTGGAAGTTAACAGTTTTTCGGATAGCCCCCATATGATATCAAAGCAGTCCAGGAAAATCTCAGCTTCCCTTCCCTGGTCAGTCAGTCGAGCTGCCAGTGCAGCCATTTTTCTCTCATTCCCATTCACCCGGGGCTACAGGCCCCTTTTCTCTATCATCCCCATTCATCCAGGGCTAGGTCAATGGGTACTAGTCTCTTCTCTGTTTTTTAAGTTCAGTAATCCTGTGGAACAACTCACAAACTGCAAGGAAAGGGCTATCTTTAATCTAGAAGGAAAAAGTATACAGACACAAAGGTCAAGGCTCAGGAGGGGTCTCAGCACAGAGCTTCCATGCCCACAGAGGACGTACTTACCCTCCTGAGAGCAGAATGTGCTCTCTCTCCAGGTGAGCATCTGTCTCCCAAGGCCTTTTATTGGCGTTAGCATGTGGCCTTGATAAGATTACATAATGAGTAATCATAGGCCCCAGGTTGTCCTTCTTACTCATTGGCCTCAGGTGTGGTCCTGCTCTCAGGAACCAGGACCAAATGCCGAATTGTTTACTGCAAAGGGGTTGTACTGTGTAAGACCCCATCAGAGGAATTTTTTGGAAAGAATTTAGAACCTTTAGGTAATTTTTGAATCATAGATGTTTTTTCTGATTAATAGCTTTTTTAAAAAAATAATCTCCTTTATAATAGTAACAGAGCCACCACCAAATGTAGTTGTAACCTCAACAGCAGATTTTGATATTTGAGCCTTTATAAACTGGCGCTTTGAACTGGTTTTTTGATAAGTGTCAAAACATAAAGTTAAATTATATTTAACATTAGTTTAAAAGGTAATAAATGGCATGTATGATGGGGTAGCAAGTATATGACACTCAGTACATTTGGCTCTTCTAGAAAAAGCTAGGTTTGTCCCATGTTTAGTGGTGGGATGACACACGGAATTGGGTGTTTCTTGTCACATTTATGCTGTCTTTCTCAATTCCAAGGAGCGATCACAGCAAAGGAACTATACACAATGATGATGGATAAAAACATCAGCTTGATTATAATGGATGCTCGAAGAATCCAGGATTATCAGGATTCGCATATTTCAGATTCTCTCAGTGTTCCTGAAGAAGCCATCAGCCCAGGGTGGGTCATTACATATTTAGAAAATGGTAAACTGTGGACAGTAGTAAATGTTACTACTTAGCACCAAGCTAAATGTGATGAAGTACTTTTTCTTGTCCTGTTGACCTTTCCATTCTTTGCTCCTGAATGGCACGCTTTCCCCTTTCTAAAGGATAGTGTAGGGGACATTCTAGTTTGGCTGTTTGGTAAAAAAGAATGTGCAAGTACTTTTTACTGAAGAAGAAGCAGTATAGTTAAGTGATTAAGAAAGTACAAGCTCTAAAGTCAGATTGTATTCAGATCATAGCTATCACTTATCAGCTACATTACTTCTAGCTGGTGACCTAACCTCTCTAAGCCCATTTTCCTTCTGTAAAATGATAGTAATACCTATCTCATAGAAGTTTTGGGAGGTTTAAATGAGAAAATACACACACAGTCACAAACACTTAGCACAGTACCTGGCACTAGTAAGGATTTAATTTAAAAAAAAAAAAAAAAATTTTCTGTTTTGGTAAGAAGGCTTTTAAGCTATGGGTATATTGTACATTAGAACTCATTGTGATGTAGTGGTGGAGCTAACACTTCAGACCCAGGGCGGTTTTCACTATTTCAAGTGTTCTTACATAAATCATATAACCTCCCTGGGCCTTAGCTTATAGGATTAGATCAGTTGAGATCTGTGGTCCATTCTAGGGCTAATTTAAACAATACTGGTATGTGTGTATATATATATATATAGATACATAGATATTTAATTAGGTAATAAAACTTGCATAGATCTTGGCACATTGCACATGCCTGATAAATGTTTGACTTGAACAGTAGAGTGCTTTGTAAATATGCTATTTTAAAACGAGGTTAGAATGCTTCATCTAATCAAGTAGATGTGAATTCCTAGTATTTGAAAAGACATGGCAAGTTGTAATTAGTCTTTGGATGGTCTAATCTATACTCAGAAAGCTGGTGGTATTTATTGAATTTAGCTCAGTGTTTCTCAAAATATGAGATTTGAACAGCTGTGGAAGTCAAGAGGTCTTTATGTTGAAGATTAAAGAACAATTAACTGCATACCCGGAAAGTCATTCCCGTTTAATTTTTGTTTCAGTCTTTCCGAATTGGTTTTAAAAAATCTCAGTTTAGTGCTAATATACGTTTTAGTATTGCTAATTCCCTTTTTTAGTGGAGAGTAGACCTCTGAGCTTTCCGTAGGCAACAGTATCTACAGCTAGCTAATGTTTATGTTTTCATTGTCTGATTTGATTATTTTTTAACACAGTATAGTGTACATACAAATTTGATCCTATCCTAATTGTTTAGCCCAGTGAATTTTCATAAACGGAATGCACTTATTTAACTAGCATTAAGATCGAGAAACAGAACATGACCATCACTCCAGAAGCCCCTGATATGCCCCAGTCAGCCACTACCCATGACCCCTCCCACCCAAGGGAACCCCAACTTCTTACAGAATAGATTGGTTTTGTCTGTTTTTGTACTTTATATAAATAAAATCAGACAATATGTAGTCCTTTATGTCTGAGTTTTTTTAAGTCAACCTTGTATACGTGAGAATCATCCATGTTATTTTGTGTAGTTTGCAGTTTGTTCGTTCTCATTGCTATATGGTATTCCATTGTGTGAATATAGCACAATTTACTTATCTGTTTTATTTTTTTAGGATTACCTTTATTTCTTGCATATGATGCTGTTTTTCCATGTATATGGAGATAGAAAGTTTCATTTTTAAATAAACTTATTTAAATTAAAGATCAGTTTCAACAAATATTTTAAATAATAGGTCAGGTAAAACAGTTGCAGCAGATTGTCATGGTGATACATGAAAGGTACATGAAGTTGGGAAACACTGTTTAATATTATTTTTTCCCAAAATGTTTTCTGCAAAAACTAATTCTCAGAACAATATTAGGCAAATATATCACTAGAGTAAGAAGTAGTCCTTAAGAATATTGTATTTCATTTTTTCTCGTACTTTGTTGACCAAGCATCCTTCTGATATCTAATTGTTTATCAGGAGAGAATATTGTGAGGCAGTATTTTATGTTTCCTTTTCATCCTCTATCTCTCTGTCTTTTTTTAACTTCTAGAAGATACATAACCAACATTATTATATGGAGTGAATTTTCTTTTTATTTTTTTATTGTGCATTAGGTGAAAGTTTACAGCGCAAATTAGTTTCTCATTCAAAAATTTATATACAGATTGTTTTGTGGCATAGGTTGCAATCCCCACAATGTGTCAGCACTCTCCCCCTTTCTCTTTCCACCCCGGGCTCCCTATGTCCGTTCATCCATTTCTCCCGTCCCTTCCTGCCTTCTCGTCTTTGCTTTTGGTCAGGTGTTGCCCATTTGGTCTCGTATACTTGATTGAACACATTCCTCATGTGTATTATTGTTTGTTTTATAAGCCTGTCTAATCTTTGGCTGAAGGGTGAACTCTGGGAGTGGCTTCAGTTCTGAGTTAGCAGGGTGTCCAGTGGCCATAGTCTTGGGGGTTCCTCCATTCTCTGTCAGACCAATAAGTCTGGTCTGTTTTTGTGCATTTGAATTTTGTTCTGCGTTTTTCTCCCACTATATCTGGGACCCTCTATTGTGATCCCGGTCAGAGAGAACAGTGGTGATAGCCAGGTACCATCTACTTCTGGGCTTAGGCTGGTGGAGGCTGTGGTTCATGTGGTCCATTAGTCTTTTGGACTAGTATTTTCCTTGTGTCTTTGGTTTTCTTCATTCTCCTTTGCTCCAGATGGAATAGGACCAATAGATGTAGCTTAGCTGGCTGCTCACAAGCTTTTAAGACCCCACATACTACTCACCAAAGTAGGCTGTAGAACATTTTCTTTATGAACTATATTATGCCAATTGTCATAAATATTGCCCGAGACCATGGTCCCCAGCCCTCAGCCACACTAACTCGGTGCCTCAAGGTTTTTGGGTGTGTCTAGGAAGCTTCTGTGACTGCCTTGGTCAGGTTGTGCTGACTTCCCCTATATTGTGTGTTGTCTTTCCCTTCACCAAAGTTAACTTGTCTATTACCTTAGTTAGTGACTTCCTAGCCCTCCCCTCCCTCATAACCATCAAAGATTGTTTTTTTCTGTGTGTAAACCTTTTCATGAGTTTTTATAGTAGTGGTCTCATACAGTATTTGTCCTTTTGTGATTGACTTATTTCACTCAACATAATGCTCTCTAGATTCATCCATGTTGTGAGATATTTTGCGGATTCATCATTCTTTATCATTGCATAGTATTCCATTGTTGTGTGTACCATAATTTGTTTATCCATTCATCTGTTGATGGGCACTTAGGTTGTTTCCGTCTTTCTGCTATTGTGAATAATGCTGCAGTGAACATGGATGTGCATATGTCTATTCATTATTCATGCGACGGCTGTTATTTTTCTAGAATATTTTCATAGGAGTGGGAATGCTGGATGGCATGATGTTCCTAGCTTTTTGGAGAGGCGCCATATTGTTTTCCATAGTGGTGGTACCATTTTGCATTCCCACTGGCAGTGCATAAGAGTTCCAATCTCCCTGCCACCTATCCAACATTTGTTGTTTTCTGTTATTTGATTAGTGCCACTAATGTCAGGGTGAGAAGGTATCTTATTGTAGTTTTGATTGGCATTTTTCTAATGACTGAAGATCACATCATTTCCTCATGGGTCTGTTACCACCAGAATGTCTGTTCATATCCTTTGCCCATTTTTTAATTGGATTATTTGTCCTTTTGTAATATAAGTGTTAAAATATTTTATAGATTTTAGAGATTAGACCCTTGTCGGATATGTCATAGCCAAAACCTTTTCCCAGTCTGTGAGTGCTCTTTTTACTCTTTTGGTGAAGTCTTTTGATGAGCATAAATATTTAATTTTTAGGAGCTCCCAGTTATCTAGTTTATCTTCTGGTATTTGTGCATTGTTAGTTATGGTTTGTATTGTATTTATGCCATGTATTAGGGCCCCTAGCAGTGTCTTTATTTTTTCTTCCAACATCTTTATTGTTTTAGATTTTATATTTAGGTCTTTGATCCATTTTGAGTTAGTTTTTGTATATGGTGTGAGGTATGGGTCCTGTTTCATTTTCTTACAGATGGACATCTGGTTTTGCCAGCAGCATTTGTTAAAAAGACTGTCTTTTCCCCATTTAATGGACTTTGATGCTTTGTAAAAGATCAGCTGCCCATAGGTGGATGGATTTACATCTGGGTTCTTGATTCTGTTCCATTGGTCTATGTGTCTGTCATTGTACCAGTACCAGGCTGTTGTGACTACCATGGCTGTATAGTAGGTTCTGAAATCAGATAGTGTGAGGTCTCTATTTTTTTCTTTTTCTTCAGTAATGCTTTGCTTATCTGAGGCCTCTTTCCTTTCCATCTAAAGTTAGTGATTAGTTGTTCCATTTGGTTGAAGAATGCTGCTGGTGTTTGGGTTTGGGATTGCATTATGTCTGTAGATCACATTGGGTAGAATTGACATTTTCACACTGTTGAGTCTTTCTATCCATGAGCATGCTGTGTTTTCTGTTTATGTAGGTCTCTCACAGTGGTCAAGAACGTGGCTGCTAACCAAAAGGTCAGCAGTTCAAATCCACCAGCTGATCCTTGAAAACCCTATGGGGCAGTTCTACTCTGTTCTGTAGGGTTGCTGTGAGTTGGACTCGACTCGATGGCAATGGGTTTTTCTTTTGGTTTCTTGCAAAATTAGTGTTTTGTAGTTTTCTTTGTATAGGTCTTTTACATCCCTGGTTAGATTTATTCCTAAGTATTTTATCTTTTTAGGGCCTATTATAAATGGTATTGTTTTCCCAATTTCCTTTTTGAAGTTCTCTTTGTTGGTATATAGGCAGCCAACTGATTTTTGTATGTTGATCTTGTATCCTACTCTGCTGAATCTTTCTATTAGTCCCAGTAGTTTTTTGGTGGAATCTTTGGGGTTCTCTACATATAGTGTTACATCATCTGTGAATAGGGATATTTTTACTTCTTCCTTTCCAAATTGGAT